CCTGTCCACAGAAAGGCATATTCCTCAGCAGTGGAGGAGAAGGAAGCACTGATTACACCCACAACACGAACGGACCTCCCAAACCCGATGCTCAGTTCAAGAAGCCAAGTGCAAAAGACACGCTGTAAGAGTCCATTTCCAGGAAACTTCCAGAAAAGGCAAATTACTGTGCAGACAGAAAGCAGATTACTGGCTGGGAGCTGGCATGGCACTGGGGGAAACTACAAGTGGGCACAGGGGTCTCTTGCAGGCGTTCTACACCTGGAGTGAGTGTGGTGACTGCCGCACAACTCATCAGACTGCAACTCGTCAGATTATCACTGACAATGGGCGGATTTTATGGCATGTACTACCATACTTCAATTAAGCTTTTGTGACAAAAAGTAAAAACTGCAGAGTTTTGTTTGGACCAAAAATCCTGTTTCAGACACCAACAGGACTTCACACCAATTCAGGAAGATTAATATTTAAACTCTGGATTAAGCACCGAAGTCAGTGCTATAAAGTGCAACGTCTTCTGGGGCCATATGTGATGCAACATCACATGATCCACGATGTTCTTTGTGCGGGAGAGCGGCGTGTGCATACCTCGTGGATGAAGCATCTATTCTGGCGTCTCCTCAAACCAGAAACGTCCACCTCTAATAGGAGAGCGTTCGCAGACAGAGAAGCTAAGTGGACTGTGGACAGAAGGATGGAATTTATCAAATGCTGCGTGCCTCACTTGCACAGGATGAAATTATCATTTCAATGTATATCATAGAAGAAAACTGTAACAGAATTATCTTAACCATCACTGGCAAATGGATTTTACTATCTAGTCAATAACCAGGATCCCTTTTCAACTATTCTTTCAATGAGCCAAAGCAAGAACACTGTATCATCACCTAAATGTATAAATTTTACTGACAGCAAATTAGGAATCAATGAATAAACATCAGGACACATCATTTCCATGTAAGGATGAGGAGGAGGATAAAAGCAGCTCTTTTATTCTGAACGGTGGCAATCAAAAACAAAGAGTTAAGCTTCCATCTCACTGTATTAGTTTCCTATTGCCATGTATTAAATTACCATAAACTACGTGACGTAAACAACACCCATTCTGTATCGCACAAGTCCAGGTGGGCTCCTTCAAGGGTTGGCAAGCGGAGGTCTTATCCAGGGGCCCCAGGGAAGAATCTGCTCCCTAACTTATTCGAGATGTTAGCAGAATCCAGTTCCTATGATTGTAAGACCGGAGCCCCTCCTTGCTTGTTGCCTGTCAGCAAGGGATCACACTCAGCTCCCTGAAGTCACCCCCACGTTCCTTCTCGTGCGCTCCCCTCTAGCTGCAAAGCCAGTGCCCGTGGCAGAAATCTCTCCTGCTCCAATCCCTCCGACTTCCTCTTCCGCGGCGGCCTGAGGAAATGGCCCGAAGGAGCGAGCTGATCAAGCCCATTCAGATCATACCCTCAATTCGTCTGCAAAACCTGTCAGCAGTGGTGCCAGGAGGCGAAGGTCACTGGGGCCCGTCAGGATGCTTCCAACCACACCTGCCTTTCTCACATGAACCCAACATAAAGGCAACTAACAGCTCTAGTTGATGAATGCAAGTAATAAATGTGGAAGGAAGAGCTTAATTAAAAAGCTCACCATTTTGCAATTCCCTAATAAAACAGCTGATTTAGACAAGGAGCATCATGAAAACGAAGTAAATGGCAGATGACAGCCCCATAAGGAACTCGAGAGTGACCACACCTCAGTACGACTCCAGAGTGACAGTGATGCGCAGTGTCCCTGCTGCCAAGTGCACGGCCCCACCACGCGCTCGGCCCCACCACGCGCACGGCCCCACCACGCGCTCGGCCCCACCACGCGCACGGCCCCACCACGCGCTCGGCCCCACCACGCGCACAGCTCCACGACGCGCTCGGCCCCACCACGCGCACAGCTCCACGACGCGCTCGGCCCCACCACGCGCACGGCCCCACCACGCGCACGCTTCCACGACGCGATCGGATCCCACCACGCGCACAGCTCCACGACGCGCTCGCCCACCACGCGCACAGCTCCACGAATCGCTCCCCCCCACGCGCACGCTCGGACCCCGGCCCCACCACGCGCACAGCTCCACGACGCGCTCGGCCCCACCACGCGCACAGCTCCACGACGCGCTCGGCCCCACCACGCGCACAGCTCCACGACGCGCTCGGCCCCACCACGCGCTCGGCCCCACCACGCGCACGGCCCCACCACGCGCACGGCCCCACCACGCGCTCGGCCCCACCACGCGCTCGGCTCCACCACGCGCTCCGCCCCACGGCTCCACCACGCGCTCCGCCCCATGGCCCCACCACGCGCACGGCCCCACCACGCACGCGGCCCCACCACGCACGCGGCCCTACCACGCGCACAGCCCCAGCTGTGGGGGGCGCGTGTCAAATAAGGTCAAACCTAAACCTAACCACACTGTTAGAGCTCCCTCTTAGTTTACAGAAAATAGAAGTGTGATTTAAATGATGCCATGAAAAAGCAGCAAAAAATCCAGAATGTGGAACATTCTACAATACAACTGGACCAGTTTCTTCAACGAGTCAACTACCTGTGTGGAGGGAAGGGGAAAGGGTACCTGCTGTTGATTAAGAGACATTATTTACAACAACACAGGGGCAACATTTGGACCCTGATGCAAAGAAACCAGAATAAAGAAGCATTTTAATTTTTTTAAAAAGTGAATATAAACTCAGTTTCACAGTCTACTAAGAATCACCATAAACGGTCAGTGGCTGGGAAAAGGTGGTGAGGTCGTATGAGAACATTCATGTGTTCAGTGGTGCACAGAGTGCTGAGATGCTATGAGGAGCTTACTAACTGCTTTACAAGATTTCAGCAACCACAGAAAGTGGGGATGAACACAGCAAGTACAGCAAAATGTTGAAAAACGGTGAATCCGGGTGACGTACGTGTCTGGGGGTTCATTATTCTAGTCCACTTTTGTGTACGGCGGAAAATTTTTATAATGAACGATTTCATTTAAGAGCTCCATTCACTGAGCATCTGCTGAGAAGAAATCGTATCAAGGGCTCGGCCAACATTCCTGCTGAGCTCTCACATCAGCCACTTCTACTGCCCCTACTTCTGTAGATGAGAAGGCCAATGAAGTAGCAACCAGTTGGGAGTGTGGCCTACAGGTCTGCCAATCACCCATTACCTCGGCAGCCTCAGAAGGTAAGTAAATGAAAGGGCCCTACTTTTTCATTTCACAAAACACTTTCACAAAGGGGCTAGAGCCCGCACTGGAGGGCGTCCCCCAAGCCCGGCGCTACCCACTGGCAGGGGCGATGTTGGTAGGGTGTGGGCGGTGAGAACAGGAGTTGCTGGGCAGGGGCACAGAGAACCCCTGAAGGAGAACCAAGAGAACCACAGCAGAGCCATGCGGGGTAACACAGAACCAACAAGGCGGTGACCGTGGAGCAGGTCACAGAAAAGGGCAGAGGGAGCAGAGGGGAGAGGCTGGGGAGAAAGGAGGGAGTTGAAGAGGAATACAGGCCTGGAGAAGGGCACCAGGCTCCTGCTATGACCCATCTTCCACTCTTCCCCAAGCCCCAAGGCCAGCCAGAAAACGAGAATGCCACAGGGCAAAAGAGGGCCCAGACAGACGAACGCTGGACACAGTAAATACACAGCTATGTCAGCGCATAATTACAGACTGCGCGCAGCCATTTCCCTGTCCCCCCACCCCGACCCCCTACCTCCACCCCCCCACTCCCACCCCTACCCCGACCCCCAGCACTCCCACCCCCAGCACTCCCACCCCCACCCCCTACCTCCACCCCCACCACTCCCACTCCCACCCCCACCCCCTACCTCCACCCCCTATCTCCACTCCCACCCCACCCCCACCCCGACCCCCTACCTCCACCCCCCCACTCCCACCCCCACCCCCTACCTCCACCCCCACCACTCCCACCCCCACCCCTACCTCCACCCCCACCACTCCCACTCCCACCCCCTACCTCCACCCCCTATCTCCACTCCCACCCCACCCCCACCCCGACCCCCTACCTCCACCCCCCCACTCCCACCCCCAGCCCCTACCTCCACCCCCACCACTCCCACCCCCACCACTCCCACTCCCACCCCCTACCTCCACCCCCACCCCCACCCCCAGCACTCCCACCCCCCCCACTCCCCCCACCCCACCCCACCAGTCCTGTCCTCCATGAGCTTCCCAGCGTGAACTTAGCTTTTTCTGACCGGCTCCAGGCTCACAAATTGGAAGGAATGGAAGAAGGGTTTACTTGTTTAAACACTTTTTCATTTTTTAACCCCCTAATTGCAACAAAATCCACAGACCCTCAGTGTCCAGTGCGGAAGAACCGGTGTGGCTGGAGCTAAGGTTCAAGGCCACACTCGTGCCATTGGGCGCTCAGCTCCGCGGCTCCTGGAGCCTGTCAGGTAGGGTTTTAGTCAAAACCTTGGAAGAGACAAGTTTGGGGGTCGCATATGTGTTGGGGGGATGGCAGCCAGGCAAGGGATTACAGAAGGGAGAGCGAGGAGCAGAAAGGGAGAAAGAATCCTCGGTGCGTTTCAGAAAGCGCAGGAGGCACTCCTGGGCGTCTCCACGGGGAACCGCTCCAGCGGTCCTGTGTTAGAAAACGCCTTCCCCGGGGAGCACTATTCACGACGGCCAAGAAGCGGAGGGCACTGTGGCACCGAGACAAGCTGAGCATCTCAGAGGAGGCTCCAAACAGAGAGTTTGTTTCTGGGTACCAGGCACCCAGTTCTGGCGCCCTCCCAAACGTCCTTCAAACCTGGAATCAAGCTAGTCTGCTTCCCACCGCTATTCACAAGATACATTACTAGGACTATACGTGACCCTTCAGCACCTGATTAGTTCCATGAACTTCCCTCTGCGCCCGGCACTGCAAGCCCTGCGCACTGCACGCACACGCCACCGCCGTGTCCCCGGTACCATGACGAGGTGATGCTATGCTAAGCGAATAAGCAGGACTTACCAATTTTCTGATGGAAAATCTTGTCAAACGTCGTTTCATTTCTTTCCTCAAGATACTTCTGCATCACACTCCGGATACTGAAAGAGAAGAGTGACGTTTTTAACACTGACGCCGGCACCATGCATAACCATTGCTAGAATGGAAAACACACGGATGTCTGTTGCAATTCAAGGATACTGGCTTGACCGGGGACCCATCTTACTGCCATCCATGACTGCACAAATGGGGCTTGACGGCAAGTTGGGGACCTCATGGCTCCAGCCTTTACCCTCTCCTGTGACCCAGAGCCAACCTTACATGCAGAGAGAGACTCGCCTACCAAAAATAAGGACTTGGGGAAAGTACACCCTTAACACCAATGCTTTTCAAAATATACAGATGGGTGCATGCACAAACAACCAATTCTGCTAATCAATCCATGAGCTGCTTCTTTTTCTTCTTTTTTTGTTAATCTTCACCCGAGGATATTTTTCCATTGTTTTATAGAGTGGGAGGAAGGAAGGGAAGGAGGGAAGGAGAGAGAGAGAAACATTGATATGAGAGACACATCAATTGGTGTCTCCTGCACAACCCCAACCAGTGCCAGGGATCAAACCTGCCCTTGACCAGGAATCAAACCCACAACCCTTTGGTCCAAGGGCCAATGCTCTAACTACTGAGCCAAACTGGCCAGGGCTCACTAAGCTTCTTTTTAAAACAAAAACGAACGTTCCCTGGATATGTAATTAATATTTTTTTAAAATCACATTTCTGCACATTAACAAAAACTGCAAGAAAACATAATTAGAAGAAAGATTCCACTTACAATAAAATAAAAACCACTGAGTGCCTTGAAATAAGTACAAAATATGTGCAGGAACTTTACAGGGAAAATTACAAATTGTACTGAGAGACATTAATAAAGATCTTAAAATAAATAAATAGATACACCACAGTTATGAACAAAAAAAATTAATATTGCAAAAACTCAGTCTATCCAAATTTCTCTATAGAATCAATACGGTCCCCCATCAATGTTCCAGCATTTCATGGACCACAGACACAGAGAAGCTCTTTGTCAAATGTCTACAAAACAAAACAGGCTCAGGAACAGTCAAAGCAATTCCAGAGAAGGCGAATGGCAATGATAGGGCTTAATGAGGCTAAAAGAATTACGGCAGGATAAACACGTGATCAATGAAATGGAATAGAGCACATAAACTGACCACACCTACTAGAACTCTGATACATAATAGAAGTAGCAAGGCAAAAAAATCAGGAAAGCGGGGACTGTTCAGGAAATGAACCCCAAAACTGAGGAGCCAAATAGAAAGCACATAAATTGATTCTCTATCATCCATTGATGGGCAGCAATTTGGCATTGCTTTTTTTATTTTATTTTTTTTTTTACTTTTAAGAACAAACTGAGGTATAATGTATACATAACTAAATGTTTATGTAAGTGTACCATTAAATGAGTTTTCACAAGTAACTACTACCCTAATCAAGACAGCAAATATTTCTATCACCCCAAGAGATGCCTCTTCGCAGTCAATCTCCCCATAGTCCAGGACTCGGGCAACTACGAACCTTTCTGTTAACACAGGCTCCTCACTCCAGGTGGAGAATTTTATATAAATAAAAGCATACAACACATTGTCCCGTGCCTGGCTTCTTTTGCTGAGCATAGGCACGCTTCACCCATGTTGCTGAGCACATGGGCATTTAATCCTTTCGTATTGCCAAGTAGTATGTGATTGTATCCCACCATTCGTTTATCGGTGAGTCTGCTGTGGGTTGTTTTCAGTTTGGGGCATTATGAAAAAAAGCCGCATTAAATATCTGTAAGTCTTTTTTTACGGGCACGTGTTTTCATTTTTCATGGGTAGATATTTGGAAGTGAAACTGTTGGTCATATGGTAAATCATACTTAACACGATGAAAAAGTGCTGAACTATATCCCCCACTGGTTGTAGTGTTACATTCCCAGCAGCGATGGGTGACGCCCCAGCTGCTCCACACCCCCCGCCAAGACTTCGGTGGTCAGTCCTTTTAGTTTTGGCCACTCTGTTGGGTGAGTAGTGGCATCTTATATTGATTTGCATATTAATTTGCTTTTCCCTAATGACGATGTTGAGCATGTCTGAACACGATTATTGGAATGCGTGTATCTCTTTTACGAGGTGTGTTGTGAAATCGTTTGCCTGTCTTTTAATGAGTTGTCTTATCACGCTGTTGTAAAATTTCTTTATAGAGCCTTGAAAAAGTCCTATGTCAGACTGTGTGACAGTAACATTTTCTCCCAGTCTGCACACTGTGTCTTCATCTTCGGCATGAAATCCTTCTAAGAGCAGAGGTATTTGGTTGATGAGTCCAGTTTATTGATTTCTTTTTCTGGTGGACAATCTGTGTTAAGAAATCTCTCACATCTCAAGGTTGTGAAGATTTTAACCTATATTTTCCTTTAGAGATTTTAAAGTTTTAGTTTTTGTGTTCAGAACTAAGATCCATTTTTAAAAAATGTGATACAAGGTGAGATTGAGGTTCTTTTTTTATTTATAATACCTAATTGTTCCAGTATCATTGTTGAAAAATTATCCTTTCTCCACTGAATTATCTTGGCATCTTTGCAGATTCAACACTAAACATATGTTGGTCTATCTTTGGACTATCCTGTTGCATTGATCTATATTTCTGTCCTTACCTGTCTTGAGTGTTACAGGGTTATAGTAAATCTTAAAATCAGGTGACTTACATCTCCCAACTTTGTCTTATTGTTTTTGTGTTTTTGTTTGTTTGGCTATCCTAGGTTCTTTGCATTTCTATGTAAGTTTTTTTGTTTTTGTTTTTTTGAGAGAGAGAAAGACAAAGGGAGAGGGAGAGAGCTAGAAACATCAATGAGAGAGAACATCGGCCACCCCATACACGCCCCCCACCAGGGACCAGGCCCACCACCTGGGCATGTGCCCCGACCGGGAATCGAACTAGCAACCTCCCAGTGCGTGGGTTGACACTCAATCACTGAGCCACACCAGCCGGGCCCATGTAAGTTTTTAAAATCAACATGGAAATTTCTTCCCAGAAAAAGCTTGCTGGTTTTTTTTTAATTATACCTCAATCAAGCTGCCCCCTTTTTTAAATCCTCACCTGTGGATATGTTTATAGATTTTTTTAGAAAAAGAAGAACATCAATGTGAGAGAGAAACATGGATGGGTTGTTTCCTGCACACGCCCCGACCAGGGATCGAACCCAAAATCTAGGTATTGTGCCCTGACTGGGAATCAAACTCGAAACCTTTCAGTGTACAGAAAAACGCTCCAACAAACCAAGCTACCTGGCCAGGGATGCTTTTGTTTGTTTTATTATCATAACACAAGGATGCAATCAGCAAATTCCTAGGTATGGAAAACTATACAAAAGATGACCTGGTTTCCTTAACAAAAAATTTCAAAGGGAAAACCTACAGTTCAAAAAGGACTTTAAGAAATAGCAATCAGGGAGTATGGACCTTATTGAAAACTCAATTCAAATACAAAAATCTTGTAAAAATTAAAGAAATGTGAATACAGATTGAACATTTGATGATATTAAGGAAGCATTACCTTTTAGCAGCAGCAATGTATTATGCTTATGTTTTGGTATTTTAAAAGAGTTCTTATCTTCTAGGAGAACATGCAGAAGTATCTACAGATTAAATTATACATCCTGTCTGGCTATGCTTCAGAATAATCTAAAGCGAACTGGGAGGTATGGATGCAAGAAAATCAGTAATGTGCTCCCGGCCAGTGTGGCTCAGTGGTTGAGCGTCGACCCACGCACCAAGAGGTTGCCAGTTCGATTTCCAGTCAGGGCACATGCCCAGGCTGTGGGCCTGATTCCCAGTGGGGGACATGCAGGAGGCGGCCAATTGATGTTCTCTCTCATCGATGTCTCTCTCTCTCTCTCTCTCCCTCTCCCTTTCTCTCTCTAACATCAATGAAGAAAAAAAAAACTTTTTTAATTGGTAATATGCTGATAACTGACGAAGCTGAGTGATGGCTACATCAACTTCATTCCCTTGTCCTCTGTACATGTTTGCAGTTGTCATTACAGAAAGTTTTTTAAAAATAAAATTCTGGCCTCCAGATTCCTGGACCATTACTGTTTATACCTCCTCATCCAAAGAAAGCATAAATACTGTATGCAGTACCTTATATATTGATGGGAGGTCTAATGTTTGTTTGTTTAACCTAATGTGTGTGCATGTGTGTGTGTGTGTGTGTGTGTTTAAATATCAACTTGCTGGAGATATATCAACTCTACCTGTCGTGACCTATTGGGGTCCTGCTATAGAAACACAAGGTAAGTATAATCAATTTTTATAGTAATTTTTATATTTTTTCTATTGCTATTGTGATTAAAGTACTAGCTACCAGATATCTGCTCTCTCCTGGCCAAAGAATGGGTAATCTAAGTTGAATTTCCATACCTTACTAGCGGAGAAACTACCATACTTATGACATAGCTAGATAACTCCCCTGATTAACAGCCTCTATATTCTATATGAGGTTTAATTCTGTTTTATTCTAATGTACAAAATAAAATGCAATTAAACAAACATTTCAAATAACATAACATTTCACCTAAAAAGAGTTGGGAAGATCAAGCCAGACGGTGAGAATGCTTTGTTAGAAGCACTCTACAAATGAGTTATCACTACTGACCTAGAAACCCAGCAGGCAGATTGTGTTCAAAGATAAGATGACTAAGAAGTCACACCAACATTCAATTCCCCCAAAAGGAAATTGCTTTCTTTCATATGTAGTTACTAAATATTTCCCACTAACTATTCATTAAACACCCAAAAGAGAGCTATATTATCCAAAATCACAATAAAAACTTTACCACTAGGTTGAAAACCACAAATCTCTGCCAGATAGACTCTGAAGAGGTCTGTAAAAGAAAAATATCTGGTACAATTTAATGTCGATTTTTCTCAAGTTTCCTGGGTTCACCAGATCTTTGGCAGAAAAGTCTTGCATATAATTTACATATCATTAGGCAATTCAGCAGGAGACCATTTACATTCAAAAGATCACAACCCAATTAAGCTAACCG